TTTCCAAGAGATGGCATCACTCTCATGAAGTCACTTCAGCGAGAGACAGGAACCTACATTCTCTTTGACAGGCATAGCCTTAGCGTAAGAATCTTTGGGTCTTTGAAAAGGATCGATATGGCTCAACAGAAATTAGTTCAGTCCCTTCTGACCTTGAATGAGAGCAAGCAACTCCAAATCCACCTCCGAGGTGTATCTATGCCCCCCAATCTGATGAAGGAAGTGGTTAAAAATTTTGGGCCGGAGCTTCAGGGTCTCAAAAAGAAGTTTCCCGGTGCAGAATTTACTCTCAATTCATGCCGCCACGTCATTTTTATTTCTGGTAGCATAGAATTAAAGCAAAAAGTTGAAGAAATAATCTACGAGATTGCACAGATGAACGGTCCTTCAGCTCAGAGGGTTGACAATGAAGCTGGTGTCCGATTTGCTTGTGTGAAGTGGAGGATGGTTACCGGCTCGAAAGCTGTTTACATCAGTTCTGCTGATTGTGCTTAATAGAGCAGTGTGAGTCCACCATTAAAAGCCGAGATAGCTTTCCTATGCACTGTATGCACGAGGGTTGTAGAGCTATAATTTTGCTTACTGACTTGCGATCTCTATTGTTGAGTGAGAAGTTAGATGAACTTTTTAGGGCCTCTCGGGGCTCATTTGTGGCATCAAGTTGAGGTAATTTCAGGTTTTGCCCATCACCCGATTGCCCTTCAGTTTATCAAGTGGCAGAGCCCTGTACGTCTGGAAAGCCATTCGTCTGTGGGGCATGTTATGTGGAGACATGTACACGGTGTCACTTGGAGTATCATCCGTTCCTGTCGTGCGAGAAGTACATGGAATACACGGAAGATCCGAATTCGTCACTGAAAGAGTGGTGCAAGGGAAAAGAACATGTGAAGAACTGCCCTGTCTGTGGGTATACAATTGAAGAAATCGAGTTGGCAAGTGTGTACGTAAATTAGACGGGAGTTGCTCGGCCCCATCAGGTGTCAGAATTGGCTTGACTTAGCAACAGTCCAACCGAACAAAAAAGATGGCCAATGAAGAAAAATGCTTCTAGATATAAGGAAAGTTGATAACCGACCAAGGAAGAAAAACAGTGTTAATCATGGCCGAACAAAGCAAAGGAATAAAGTTTGGACGACCAAGCATAGAGGCCGCCAACAATTTCTTACAAGTGGGACCGAACAAACAGAGCTAATGTTTCTCAAGTAGGGACAGAATAAGCCTATTAAATAACGTTGAATTGTTCGGCCTCCAATGTCCTGCTCGGTTAACCAATGTGCAAACCAACCAAGCAAAAACATGTATACTGTGATTAAAGCATGAAGGGCAGCACATGGTCCACCAAACTTTTCCATGGCAAGCTTAAAAGTTTGATTTAGTGGAGCACCAAGTTTGTAGGCCCCACGCCAATTTCACCAAGAGTAACACAATGTCAACTCCCCAGCAAATCACATTGGCATCCTATAACCATGCATGGCATCAAGGTAAGGCCTACAAAACATTGCCCATCTACATTATCAAAGCAAGTTAGAAGTTGGCTATGTAAGGCATGCTTGAACTATTGTGAAGTAGATTGTAGTGCGCGGTTCTGTTGTCCAACTTTAGAAATATATATATATATATATATATCCAAAAAAAAAAAAAAAATAAAAAAAATAAAAAATTCATGTATATATATATATATTTTTTAAGTCAAGCAACGACGCTCAGCCGACTGAAAAAGCACTAAGCTAGACAATTACAAGGCTAGTGAAGACACATTTAGTTTGGGGGCACAAATGAGCTACGAAACATTGGGCAAACGCAAACGTTGGACCGAACAATAATTTTGAATCTAACTCATAGAGCTCAAATTAAGTTATGATCGCCCAAACTTCGAAGTTTGTGATAGAATTGGCTTCCGCTTCGTCAAACGTAAGCGCAAGCCAGGGGGCAAATGAAGTGGGTAAAAAGTGATCAAGTCTTGGCGCTAGGCCCAATGCGATACTCACTCCAAGGTGGAGCTAGGTCGGACCTCAGCCCTATGGCCAACACTTGCTCCGAAACAAGACAATCATAGGAGCTCGGCCCAATGTACGAATGTCACTCCAAAGTGGGCCGAGCAGCACGGTGAACCTCTTGGACGGACAGCCAACCACTCCGAAGTAGGTTGAGTAACATGTTGAACCTCCTGGACGGACAGACAACCACACCGAAGTGGGCTGAGCAACATGTTGGACCTCTTGGACGGACAGCCAACCACTCTGAAGTGGGTTGAGCAACATGTTGGACCTCCTGGTTGTGGGCCTAACAAAGGTCTAGGTTGATCCTAGTTGACCAGTTCGATGTGGGCCGAACAAAGGCCACTCCTCTGTTCCTCTCCCTCTGTATGAACATAACGTGGAGACATGGAGGTGCAGAGGGACAAGGAGCATATATGACAGACCTGCGTCTGAATGGCAGGCGGAGGGGTCGTCCTCTTCCCATGAGAGATGTCCGCTAATGAGACAAACAAAACAGACCTGCACCCGAGTGTCAGGCGGAGTGGTCGTCCTCCTCCAATAGGAGACGACCACGAATAAGACACGTTGGGCAGATGACGGAGAGAGAAGAACTTGAACGACAAACAACCTTCTCCTATAAAAGGTGAACACTATTCACTCTGAAGGGATCCGAAAATCCACACACTTAACACGTATACACTCTCTGCATTCTCTCTTCTTCCTCTCCCTGAGTTGTTGACTTTACCATCGGAGGGGTTTCCGACCAAACCCCGGTCGGGCAACCTCACCGTTTGTTATTCTGTGCAGATCTTCAATTCCCAAAGCCTGCTGTTCATCCACGAAGTTCAACCCTTCTTCATAGTGCAGAAATCACCCCGCACAATGATGAAATAGATTGCAACAAATTAAAAAAAAAAAATTGACAAAAAAGACAAATCTTTGAACAGATAATAAAATTCTAAACATATAAAATATTTGAACAGATAAGTGAAATAATTGAACAGATAATAAAATTTGGACAGATATTTAAATAAATAAAAAATTTTAGAATAGATATTCCATAAGATAGATACAAATTTGATATATAACCAAAAACTTAAATAGATAAAAAATATATATATTTGAACAGATAGCCATAAAAAATTTGAATAGATACTTAAAAAAAATTAAACAAATAGATTAAGGAATAAAATTGAAAATAAAATATCCTTCAAAATATTAAATAGACTTTTCACTAAATTATCTCACAAATAGTGAATTTGTTACCAATAAAAAATATCCATTACATCTTATACATTACACAATGGGTCCAGCTTGTCTCAAGTTGAGATCAAGACTGGATCCGTCCAGTTTGGCCTATGGGGCCCATTTTTTGGGTCTGTTTTGATAATCCAAACCGTTCAATGTGTAGAACTCGTCGAGTACTACATGCCTGTAAAAAATCACGTTGATCGGATATCAATAGCTATGTGATCAAATCAAATTTGTATAAAAAAAAAAGGACGGTGATAAAAAACTGTTTTGTTCACATAGTTATCGATATCTGATCAACATGATTTTTTACAGGCATATAGTACTCGACGAGTTCTACACATTGAACGGTTCGAATTATCAAAATAGGATCCGTGGTAGGCCTCCACGTATCCAACAGCACGGTCCAGTCCGATTTTGGACTGGACCAAAGCCACTGCCATTAAACAATTGCTATATTATACTTTCAACAATTTTCTTTCTTATAAAAAATCTAAGGACTAAAATTTATGATGAACCTTTTGAAGGTGTATATATATTTTTACAAAATTTCAAGTCAAAATATTAGGTGGTGTTTGATAAAGTTGAAAACTAAAAACTAAAGACTGGAAATTAAATATTGAAAATTGAATGTTGAGTTTTTTAAGCGAAAAAACTATTTAATAAAAATTTAAGTGTTGAATTAATAATAAATTGTTTGATATGTATATGATTAAATTTAAAATTTATTATTTTTAAATTGTATATTATAATTTTTATATTATGATGGTGCAGGTATTAGTGGTGGTGATGGTATGATGGTGGCAGCAGTAGTGGTAATAGCAGTAGCTTTAGTAATGGTAGTGATAGTAAAATGGTAGCAGTACTTATGACAATAATGATAATTGTCATGAAGATGATAGTAGTAATGATGGTGGTAGTAACGACGGCATGATAGTGGCAGTGGTGGTGGTGGTGATGGTAGCAATAGTGATGGTGATGATAATGATAAGGGCAAATTACATATACCCCTTTCGAGATTTAGCAAAATTACAGATACCCCCTTGAAGTTTGAGAAATTACAGATACCTCCCTGAAGGTTATATTTGCATGACAAATTAGGGGGTAATTTGTTATGAAAACATAAACCTCAAGAGGGTATCTGTAATTTTCGAAACCTCAAGGGATATCTGTAATTTAACTAAACCTCGAGGGAGGTATATGTAATTTGCCCTAATGATAATGATAATGATAGTGGTGTTGGTGGCATGATGATGGTAGTGGTAGTGGTAGTGGTAGTGATAGTAGTAGCTGTAGTGGCATGACAGTGGTAGTAAAAGTCATGATGGTAATAGTGGTGGTGGTGGGGTGGTGATATTAGTGGTAATAGCGGTAGCATTAGTAATGATAGTGGTGGCAATAGTATGATGGTGGTGATAGTGGTGGTAGTGATTGTAAGTTTATAATAGTAGATATCAAAACTTATATTTAATATTTATAAATTCAGTTAAAATTAAATAAATTTTATATAGTTTAAATTTTTTTTAAATTTTATTCTATATTTTAAGAAATACTTAAAATTTTGAGTGATATCAATTAAGATTATCAAATGAGTTTAATAAATTATCACTTAATATATAGTTTCAAATGTTGAATTATATGTTCAAACACCAATCTAGATATAAGGGTATTATCGACATTTCACATCCAAGGCAGCCCCATTTAGTAAAAACATAAGAGCCGCCCAAATCAAATTCCCTTCAATAATCAGTACATAATACCCAATTAGTTCCTCTACTCTCTCTGTTTCTCTCTCTACTCATTGTCTCTCTGTTCACTTTCTCTCTCTAAACTCTCTCTCTCTCTCTCTCTCTCTCTCTGGCGTTGAGCTCGGTGGATTATGGAGTCTTCTTCTATGCTTCACAGATCTCACAATTTTACTGGAATTTCATTTCAAGTCTCGTTGTGGTACTATTTCTTTGGTTTCTTTTTTCGATTTAGTCTTTCAAATTATTGTTCATAATTGTTTCATTTCTTCACGTGCTTCTCAATGGTCAGCCGTGTTCTTTTCTCCGCATATCGGTCAATAAAATTGACTGATTCTAGGGTTTTGGGTTTGCTGTTGAATTGGATATTAATTTGTTGCCTGTTGTTCAATTTTTGTTATTATTGTTTTGTTGGTGCTGTTTAATTAGTTCATGAACTAATAATAAGTTTTGATTATTGGGTATTTCAATAAATGAAAAAATAATCATAAAGCTGTTAATTTTGATTGTGGGGTGTTGTTATTATAGTCTTGAAAGAACAGCTGATGAATTAATACTTCTAGTAATTACTATTTTATTTATTTATTTTTTGCTGCAGCTGATATGGGTATTTTTGTTTGGAATTTTAATAACTCTCCAATCTTGATTTTGTATGTTGTTTCTTGCCGGTCTGTGGATCTCTTGTTTTGCTGCTAGCTTTTCCTTGGATTATTCATGTTCTGTTTAAGTTTGTAATTTTATTATCGGTCATTTCAGATTCCCTATCTTTTTTCTCATCCTGAAGAGGGCTGTAAATTTCAATTTGTTCATTTTCAGCCAATTTTAAGTCCTTCATGTTTTATGTTTTCCATCACCTGGTCATATTTCACCGTCAAAAGTGAAAGCTAAATGGTTTTTACAACTGAAGTGTTTTGAGTTCAGTAGATGCTAGTTGTCATGGGCGAAGCCATAATTTTTAACAAGTAGGTAGGGGCAAAATCCTAACCTCGAAATATACATTAATTTTTTTTTTTGATGGATTACACTCCTAAACTATTCCAAATCAATCAAAGCAGATCAACGGCATACACAACACAATAGACAGAGATGGGAATAAAATGGGTAGGAGAATTTTTTTTGGTTTTTTTTTTTTTTTTTTTTTTTTGTTTTGGGGGGGGGGGTAACTTTGTAATTATATTTTTTTTAAGCCTCTGCAATCCCTGCTCTCTCTTCTGTTGATAAGGCATAAAAGTGTTTTTTGCATCAATGTTCTCCATCGTTATTAGTATTTTACTATCATTATTTACAATTTTTGATTTATGTGGAGTTTGAATTCTAGGTTTGGTTGAATATAACAGATCATTATTACTACTAATTTAATATAGGTTCCCAGGTTAGTGATCTTAAATACATCTTACTTTGCAACATGTAAACTCATTCATAGTTTTTGTTGCATGAGAAAGAGTAGAGAGTAGAATATTTATTATTATAATGTATTTAAATGATGGTCTTCCCATTTGAGCTTTAACTTCTTCATTTGGTGAATTCTTAATATTTATTTTGGATTGAATCTCTTTCCTCCTGATGAGAGATGAATCTACATTACTTGAATGTTTGAAAATAATCAGACATGGCAAGACACTGTAATTTTGCTTGAGAAAGGAAGAGATAGTATTACTACAACATTGGAACGTTCATGGGTACTTCTTTAAATATGTTTTCCCCCACTTTAATTGAAGATTTGAAAATAACTGCACTAGCCACTAGATATGTGCCTTAAACATTGCTCTTGAAATACTAAGGTTTGCTAAAAAGAAAACTATAAATTCTTTGAGAATTGGGTTATGTTCTTATTTGTAAAGATTAGGTCTTACCATATATGACACCTGTAGACACATTCACATTGAATGTGTTTATTATCAGCCATGTAGCAAGGAAAGCGTAAAAGCATGTGCAAAAATATAGTTCTCTTAAATTTCTAGATACCAACTTATTTCCTTCGTCAGCTAATGTATTCATTTATTCTTCTGAGTCCAAATAGTACGCTCACATGCCCAAGTATAATGCACCAGGTTGACCTATTTTATGAGGTAGTATGAACATTGATTCTGACTTTAGTTTGGGTGTTCCCAATAAGACTTGCTGCATCTCGAGAAGGAAAGATTCTTTTAAAAATCTTTGCTTTCTTTGCTATTTTAATTTCTACTTTAGAATCAGGAAATAGGTTTCTTTACTTAGCTGTGTAATTAGAAGAAGGCTGAGAACATGAATGTCAACTGCACCTTGATCCACGTGGAATGTGATACAACAAATAGAGGAAATCCAAGGTGAAATGGGTTGAGGTGATAAAAAATGTGATTGCCTTAAATATGATAATTTACTTCAAATAGAACCATTGGAGGAAATGGATCCTTGTAGCTGACCCCAAGTAATTGGGACAAAGCTAGTTGGGTTGAGTTGACTTGGCTATGTAATTAGGTGTTGTGAACAATTTGCAATTGAGAGGTAACTGTGCTGAATATAGAATGTTGGTGCTTCATTTTTCATGTTCTCTTCTATAAGTTGCATGACATTAATGAACTACCCCTTGCGGTGTCTAGTTAATAATTGACTTTGTTTAATTCATGAATCCTTTTATTGTAAACATATGATATGATTATATCCTATCATTCATTCATTAGAAAGAATATTATGATGCACAGATTGTAGTTATATTCTACAATATCCTTCATAACTACTACCTGCATTCCTTTGAGGCCGACTTTTTAAAAAAAAATGCAAGTTCTTCAGTCTGCTTGCGTGTTGTTATCCAAGTCTTATACCTAATATTGTTGGTAATGTATCTAATATGCATACTCCCAAGTATGTTCACCTAGTTGTTTGTCTGGTTTATTTTATCTTTTGACTGTAATATTGTAAAATTGGATCCATCGTATTAGTGTCTATTGTATAGATATTCAGATTTAGTCCATACATACATGTGTTACTTAAGTTAAAATATGGAGTAGGTTTAATTTGTTTTTTGTACATAATAAAATTGCTTTTTCTTATTGTCCTCTTTGAAATCATATATTGAAATAAGTTCTTGACAATTAGTGGATTCTGCTCTAGAAAATATTTGCTGGCAGCTCTTATTTTTCATCTGATTATTTGACTGAATGTGAATGAATTGGTTTAATTTTCATTTATATTTGCAAGTAGAAACTTTGTTGTTACTTAAAATTAGCTAAACATTGTAAGGTGTGGTTCATTTTTTTGTCCACCTAGTCAGGTGAATGACGCTTGAGGACTTTCCAGCAAGGAGCATCAGACACTTCACATATCTGTGCACGACAATTCTCTCTGATTTCATCAAAGGGTTCTATCCTAGAAATGTTATCAGATATATATATTTTGTGATCTAAGTGCTTCCGGAATAAAAATGGACAGGTCAGACACATCAGGGTTTGTGAGTAGTGGGGGTAGCTCATCAGAAGTCTTATACCTCTGCTTTTTTATTTTGAAATATAGATCTTTCTAGGATTATGTAAATAACCTTGCTATGCTAGTTTAGTCTCTTCTTCCTTGGCACTGTAGTACACAGCATCCAGAAAAAATGGATCTCAACAAAAACAGTGAGCTTACGAAAAACAATTTTGGTGATACCACTTTATGCTTGGATTGCTTTGGTTATGGACGAAGCGTTCGTGCTGGATTTGAGGGTGCTAACTCAAGTGACAGGATCATTCCTTTCAATGCTCCTGATGACGGTTGCAGGTTGGTACTTGGATTGGGTCCCACACCAAGTACGTATTCTGATAATTATCACTCTGGTCGGGCTATCAAAAACAAAGTGCACCAGGGATTGTCATCTGAGGGTGATTCAATCCTACAACTTGGCCTTTCTGGAGGGACTGGGAAAGTTTCAGGCACATTTGAGCATTCAGTTTCAACTTACAGTAATCCAAATGCATCTCGTCACCCAAACCAAGTAGCTGTTGATGGTAATAGACTTGTGATTCCCATTGTTGATGAAGGTTCTACCTCAGCCAAGAAATCAGGTGGCTACATGCCTTCACTTCTTTTGGCTCCAAGAATGGATGGTAGCAAAATCCTGTTACAAACGCAAGAACTGCTAGAACCTGCGACCAAATACCATTTCAATCCTTCTCAGATAAGCTCTGAACCTTCAGCTGTCTCCGATTATTCATTCAGCAATATCTCTGAGCCTTCTGCAACTGCCGGGATATCATCAGATCGGAGAACCAGCAATCCTAAGAAGTGCAAGTTTGATGGGTGTTCAAAAGGGGCCCGAGGGGCAACGGGTCTTTGTATAGGCCATGGGGGCGGACAGAGATGTCAGAAACCGGGGTGTAACAAAGGTGCCGAGAGCCGAACGGCCTACTGTAAAGCTCACGGAGGAGGCAAGAGGTGTCAGCATCTGGGGTGCACTAAAAGTGCAGAGGGGAGGACAGACTACTGCATTGCACATGGTGGTGGGAGACGATGTGGGCATCCAGCTGGGTGCACCAAGGCAGCACGGGGCAAATCTGGGCTTTGCATTCGGCATGGTGGAGGGAAAAGGTGTAAGGTCGAAGGCTGCACTCGTAGTGCTGAGGGGCAGATTGGCTTGTGCATCTCTCATGGAGGTGGGCGTCGTTGCCAGTTCATAGGTTGCGCCAAGGGTGCTCAAGGAAGCACCATGTATTGCAAGGCTCATGGCGGTGGAAAACGTTGCATATTTGCTGGGTGCACGAAAGGGGCCGAAGGAAGCACACCGCTGTGCAAAGGGCACGGTGGTGGTAAGCGATGTCTCCATGATGGCGGTGGGATTTGCCCAAAGAGTGTACACGGAGGCACAAATTTTTGCGTTGCTCATGGCGGTGGAAAGAGGTGTGTAGTTTCAGGGTGCACGAAGAGTGCTCGTGGCCGTACCGATTGTTGTGTCAAGCATGGTGGAGGGAAGCGTTGCAAGTTCGAAAATTGTGGGAAGAGCGCCCAAGGTAGCACCAATTTCTGCAAGGCCCATGGTGGGGGAAAGCGGTGCAACTGGGGGGGAGAGGGAAATTGTGAGAAATTCGCAAGAGGGAAGCGCGGACTATGTGCTGCTCATAGCAGCTTGGTTCAAGAGCAGGGGATGAACAAGGGAGGAATGATTGGACCAAACCTCTTCCACGGGCTTGTCTCTGCATCATCAACTATGGGGAGCAGCTTCGAGAACAATTATTCTTCCTCGGGACTGAGTGTCATCTCCGATTCTATTGATTCGTTTGATAAGCCAGTGAAAAGACAACATCTCATGCCACCTCAGGTTTTGGTTCCTCTGTCGATGAAGTCCTCATCATCATCTTATTCAAGGCAATTGAGTACTGAGAAACAAGGGGAAAGAAGTGCTGTGGGTGGAACTGAGGGCGGAATTGGTGGCGGCATTGGCAGCGGCGATGGTGTGAGAAAGAGCTTCGACTTTGTGATCACAGAAGGGAGAGTGCACGGCGGCGGTCTCATGTCATTGCTTGGTGGGAACCTGAAGAATGCATTTGATAGGATCTGATGTTGCTTTTGTGTTGGTAATTATTGATTTTTCATGGATGGAACTGTGTATAAAATGTTTGTAATATGACTATTGATGCCTTTGTGGAAGTTGTCTTGTTAAATAAAGCCCACCTACTATCAATGTATAATATGTTGTATTGCTCTCCTTGTTTTACTTCCATCAATCAGTTTGGTATTATTTTTACTCTCTCACCTGCAAAATCAAAGGGAAACATTGAAAAGCTTGAAGAATCTAATTTGTTTCTCTGTTTGGCAAGTTGATTTTCAGGCTTTTTTGGCTATTTTAGCCACAAAAAACAAAATAGGCTATTTTAGCCATAACAAACAAAACATCACATCCAACCTATAATCATTACATTCTTCTCTCACAAAAAAAGTCAAAAAAGTCAAAAAGCCAAAAAGCCCTTCCCAAATCAAGCTTTTTAGCCCAGGTTTTGGTTCCTCTGTCGATGAAGTCCTCATCATCATCTTATTCAAGGCAATTGAGTACTGAGAAACAAGGGGAAAGAAGTGCTGTGGGTGGAACTGAGGGCGGAATTGGTGGCGGCATTGGCAGCGGCGATGGTGTGAGAAAGAGCTTCGACTTTGTGATCACAGAAGGGAGAGTGCACGGCGGCGGTCTCATGTCATTGCTTGGTGGGAACCTGAAGAATGCATTTGATAGGATCTGAAGTTGCTTTTGTGTTGGTAATTATTGATTTTTCATGGATGGAACTGTGTATAAAATGTTTGTAACATGACTATTAGTATTGATGCCTTTATGGAAGTTGTCTTGTTAAATAAAGCCCACCTACTATCAATGTATAATATGTTGTATTGCTCTCCTTGTTTTGCTTCCATCAATCAGTTTGGTATTATTTTTACTCTCTCACTTGCAAAATCAAAGGGAAACATTGAAAAGCTTGAAGAATCTAATTTGTTTCTAAAACAAATTTTTTAGAACCCTGCTTTTTATCCAAAATCTAGTCTTGAGATTTAAAAGCACAATTAGCAAATCCTCTTTCCCAAAGGTCTTTTTGCTTCGACCTGCACGGTAACTCTATAATAGTGGGATTTACTTTGAGATGAACACTAAATTCAGAAATCTTTTTTAACGTTGCATCAATACTAATAGATATACGTAATTTACAAGGGATTGCATGTATTTGAATTTACTTTGTAAGAATATATCTCAATTGATACATGTAGGGAAGATGGAATTCGGTCATCGTTTTTTTAAGATAAATTACACTTATTTTTCTTAAAGTTTAGATTTAATTAGCTCCATGTTTTAAACATAATTATGCCGATAATTCTTTTAGTAAGGTTAAAACAACCTAATCAATGCGGATAATGGATAAACACTTAAATAAATAAAGATAATTATACATTTTAGTATAAAAGAAATGACAAAATTATTTTATCATTAATACATCTAATGAATTATTAAAAAAAAAGACTTAATTGTTCAAAATATACGATTAATTGTAATTTTTTTTTTAAAGGTGGTGAGTGTAATTTACCTTTTTTAAGTAAAAAAAAGATAGCGTTAGTGCCACTTGAGAGCTAAACATGATCCATCTCTGTTTCGAGTTATGCTCTGTTCAGCCAGAGAATCGAAAAACACTTGGCTTATTCCAAAACAAAAACAACTTCATACTCAAGTTCAGGATCAACCAGAGCCGTTTCTGATTTCGTGTTCTGCTCCTTCTCTCTCTCTCTCTCTCTCTCTGATTCTTCCAGCAAATTCAAAATTCAAGTAACATAATAGTTTTGCGTAATGTGGCTTATTTCATTTAGTTTCACATTCTTTACAGTAATTTACTTGTTTTTGAGCTCAATTCTTGTTTGCATTACTTTCAGCTGCTTGAATCAAAATTCAAATGAAAAAAACGACAGTGAATTTGATCAATTCAAATTCTTTCACTTCATTGAATTCCGATTCATTTCACTTTTCTCAATTCACATCCTCCACCACACTCGCACATATACATTCTCTTCTCTCTCTCTCTCTCTCTCTATATATATATATATATATATATCGCATAAGGTGGAAACATAGGCGGGAGTTCAAAACTTTAAAAATAATCAAAAATCAAAATCGAAAGTGAAAATTGATCAACAAATGTTTTGAACTTGAATTTAATTAACATCAGTTTAATAACAGTTCCAGTTTTGTTGCGTGATTTCAGGAATATTCATGGAAGCTCCTCACGGTAACAACACCAGTTCGAGACTTTCACAACTCAAGGTTTTAGACGGAAACGTTTCGCCAATCAATGCACAGAGAGACAACAACCACCAGTTCTTAATCGGCGGAGGACGTTTTCATCATCCATCGAAGAGTCCGAGCTCAGCCATTGATAAAAACAATTTAGAGAATTTGGACTCCACATTGATCAGGTACTTGCGATCCAGATCTCCAGCATCGGCGACTACCGGCGATGCGTTCAAAACTCCGGCGATCGACTCTCCGAAGTACTACAATAGCGGAGGAAGTAGTGGATTTGGATCGCGAGGATCGTCGTCGGTGTCGCCGCTGTCGGCCCTTGAGAATTTGGAGCCGTCGGTGTTCAAGACGCCGGTGAAGGTGGAGGAGGACGTGCTGGTGATGGACGGGATTCTGGTGAGATCTGGGGCCGGTGGAAGGTTGAGGTCGTTGACGTCGTCAGATTCCGGTGGATCGTCGTCGTCTTCGGGGAGTAATAGCTTTTTCAAGACGGAGATATGTCGGTCGTGGGAGGATTTCAGTCATTGTCGCTATGGCTCCAAATGCCAGGTGTGTGTTTCTCTCCCTTTCTCGCTTGTTAGGAGAACCATTGTTGTGGAAATACTATGTACCTTATAATTAATATATATATATATAATTTTAATTTTTTTCTTTATAATTAAAAAAAAATTTAAATACGAAATATAATTAAAAAATTTATTAGTTATAATTAAAATAATATCACAATTAAAAAAAATTAATCATAACTAAAAAAATAACATAACTTACATATTATACACCTTTTAAAGGGGGGTGCATATTAAAATTTTTCCAAATTTTGAAGGCTAAATTACACTGACCTCTCTCCTCATATTTGGAAAGGGAAAATAGACTTTCATTTTAAATAAATCATAATTTAGATGGTGCAAAAACATAATAATAAACAAGGTAAAGTATATATATATTTTTTTTGTAAAAGAGAATAATATTTTTTTTTGTTCATATAATTAACAAGGTAAAGAGAGTTTTATGTAACTATATCAAAACTGTAAAACTTACCATATTTTATTTAAATTTTAAGAAATTTGAATGTAGTTTCCCAGTAAAAACAAAAAGTGCTCAAATAAATTGATAATTTGTAAGTTGAGATGCTTTTAGTTTTTTCTTTTTTAATTATTAATTTTCAGCTTGAGAAAAGTTGCTCTGAACAAGCCAATGACTTCTACCGTTAAGTGGGACAACCATATTTGTAAGAGATACTAAAGTCCGATTTTGTTCACACTCTATTAAAGGTGTAAACAAAATATAAGTGTTGATTGGTTCACAATAATGGGATTCACATTTTTAGTGGGGTTAATACATTTTTTTGGATAAGAGGTCCACAATTTTGGACCAATCAAATTTCCTACTTTGTTCACACATTCTCAAAGCATGTAAGCAAATTCGAATTCTAGGATCTAGGTCCGGATGTGCAAATCTTGTTGAATAGTAGTTTGTTTAAATTCGAATTTAATGAATTTAAAAAAAGATTCAAACTCTACTCGTTTAGTTTTAGAATAGATTGCAATGGAGCTTTAATTGATCTAATCATAAGTCAAATTTGATTAATTTAGTTTTTTTATTTTTTAATAATGCATATAGACTTATTGTGCCAAACTTAGAAAAATAAATGAATTTCAAAATGTTTTAAGTATGAGTTGTTTACGTACCAAATTGGTTTTGATAAAGTTTTTAACTAGTCAAACATAAGTCGAGTTTGAGTAAGTTGATTATCCTTACAATCATAAAAAAAATGTGTTGGAAAAATCTATCAAGTGACAACCTAAATAGTACAAGACATTTGTATGGGCTTATTGTCAAAATACAACCACTAATGCTAGATTTTATCCCAATTTTCTCACTAATTACTGTAGAGTTTCATGCTTAATTAGTCTTTTCGTTGAATAATGAGGTGATTCTACTTAATGGTCAGTCTCAAGGAGATTTATTACAGTTCGTGCAGTTCATTAACCTTCCTCGTATCATACTCCCCCCCCCCTGTCTTCCCTATTTTTCCACAAAGCAAGCATAGTGTTATGAAAATAATTTTATCCCAGCACATAGTAAACAATTAACTGCGTTCTAGGCTTCTAGCCATATATTTTACAAATATATATAGTGGGAAAAAAGTTGGTTAAGTTAAATGGTTGAATATGAGCTGGCTTTGCATTCAAATATGTCAACCAAACAGTAGGTCTTTCATTCCAAAGTCCAAACTCTTTACTTTCTCTCTCAGAGCATCGTGTCCGGAATAGGAGTTAGTCCGGGCACGGGAATCGAGGTACATTTCGTACTCCGAGTGACGGAATGTGTCTCAATTCAGGACCTTCAAACTGTACATAATGGATCTGTGTGCAAGTAAATTGTCTATAGCCTAATTCATAACCTTGGGGATGCTTGAGTGATGTTTTGTGTTACTCGCCTTTATCTAATATGAACTGCATCAGTTATGTTCTTGGATATATTAATTTAATTGTGACGTAATTTCTATGCAGTATTGGCTCTTCTTATCTGTTGATGATACCACAAAATTAAAGTTCCTTCTTTTACAGTTCGCGCATGGAAAGGAAGAGGTGCGCCCATCTCGATTCCCCATCAAGAACAAATCTGAGGTAAAAACAATTATCTGAAATGTTATCTGTCGGATCAATTCATTATCAGTTGATTGATGCTACTTTTAAGCTGGCGATTATTAACCTCTATTTGTTTATAGGCAGAGTGGCATCTTACCACAGATGTGATAAGCGTATTTTTCTCAAAAGTAACTGAATTTGGTTCTTTTGTAAATGTGTTGGGCTGTGCGTAGGCTCAAATGTGCAAGTCGTACTCTAGTTCAGGATCATGCTCATACGGTGCAAAGTGCCGCTTTGTCCATCATCAGGTTGTGGCAGCTGCATCACCAACAGAACCAGCAGTGACAGACGTGGCACTGGCGAAAACCCAAACAATCTCACCTGTCAAACCAGAAAACTCTAGCGGCAGCCTTAGTGTCACTGTCACAAACACTGATTGGTCTCCCGAGGATGATGGCATTGAGGTCACCTTACCTTGTTCTTCTTCACCTGAGAAAATTCCATCAAGGGAAGCTGTGGATGCTTACATAAATAATGTTCTCTATGGTCCTTCTCGAAGGAAGAGATTGCCAGTATTTGCTGAAATTTGTCCAGAGTAGATGCCTTCTTTCCTGAATAAACCTCCACATTTTACATACTATGGCTCAGTTTGGGACAAAGGTAAATACATATTCTTCCACTGATGTTTCAGAACAAACAATTCATTTTGGCACTTAAAAATTTTGTTCATCCTAAATACATTGTATAACATAGAACTAGAATTGAAGGAAATGGGCAATGTTGGATATAATTGTGTGCTACTTGCCAATGACATTGTTACCATAGAACTCAATACAAGCCTTTAGTATAGTAAGAGTTGTCAATGCATGACAACTCAAATCCCTTCTATCTCCTTCTGTAGTATGAACTCTTGTTGTTTACATTTACATAATTGCAGTTGGTCTGACTTGCTTCTTCTTCTTTCTTTTTTTTCCTTTTCCCCCCTCCAAAATTTTCAGTAGAAAGATGCACTTATTGTTATTATTATTTATTTTTGCAAATTAGTAGATCCAGTCAGCATTCCATCTAGCTTTTGAGTAGCAGCATTTCATCTAGCAATCTTTCGAAATTCAAGTATGATGAACCACCAGGACCAGTAGCATCTTGTGACTTTCTCTTCCAGTTCATTGCTTTGTTCTTCATCATCTTACCCTTCTCTCCCTCCATCAATTCTCTCACAAGCTTCTCTACTTCATTTTTCCCGACATCGTCACCATCTATAGCCATGCCAATATCCCATTCAGTGCAAGCATACAAACAGTTAACCTGCTGTTCCGAAGAGAAAGGCCACAAATCATGGGCACTCCAGCGGTGATGCTTTCAATGGTTGAGTTCCATCCACTGTGCGTTAGGAATCCTGCAATGGCAGGGTGGTTAAGAACTTGCTCTTGTGGGCACCAACTTACTATTAGACCTCTTTCTTTGGTTTCAGCAATGAACTCGGTTGGCAGTGCCTGTGCCCCTCCCAATGCCAAATCAGGCCTAATCATCCACAAAAAGTCTTTCTTGCTATTTGCGAGCCCCCAAGCAAATTCAACAAGTTGTTCCTGCATCAAGACTCTGACGCTTCCAAAACTCACATAAACAACCGACTTTGGTTCCTTGGAGTCAAGCCATTCAACACACTTGGCCTCTTATTTCCATAGATTAGACCCGATGTGTTTCAAAGTACTGTTCTCTGTATTCTGGTCGAGATGCAACTGCAGAGGGCCAATGGCATAGATTTTGCAGGGAAACAGCAGGGAGAGGGCATCCAAAATGTCGTGCTCGAGTGCATCAAAAGTGAGCAGAATGGTCGCTGAAGCTTTGGTAGCCTCCTCCATCTCTCCCTTGAGGAAGTTTAGTATGATATCGTTTGGATCTGTTTTTCTGATAAGCCTTGGAAGGTCTTTCATTCGAATATCCTTTCTCCCTGGAATCTACTCCACCATGGTCTCTAGGCACCCATTTGTTAGGAAGCTCGAATCTGAAAAACAGTTATACATAATTCTCATTTTTGTTTCAATTCCCAATTGGATTGAATTCAATTGTGGAATCCAAAAAAGAAAATTAAAAGAATTCAATTCATGTTTGACCTTGTCCTTCTTTCTGTCCATCCCAGCTGAGAGGGTAATTTATGTGAAAATTGGGCCGAGCTGGGCAATGGGTCATTATGGCCCACAATACGAAGGGCTGAGTAAAAAGGCCGTAAAGTTACTCCGGCCCGAGAGAGGTATAAAGTTACTCCGGTCCGGAAGCGACTTGGAGTTAGGCCGGTTGGAAGACGCTTTGAAGTTAGACCGGTCTCAGAGTTAGCCCGGTCATGACATATTGTGGTTAGACCGGTTAGAACCTTGCTACTCGGTAGCTCGGTCTAACCACGCCATTCTTTGTACATGACGAACCGAGATAAGGAGTAGTGAAAAGGAGAACCGAACTAAAGACGGTTTCGGTCTACTCTGTGGCTCGGCGTGATCATAATTACTTCGGTTATATTGGAGTTCGGTCATAATAAAAACCATCTCACTTGGTTTAAGCAGTGAGGGGTGTTGAAGGATAAGCATTGTCCTTCAGGAGTATGAATCTTAGGAGGACTCTGCATGGAGAAGTAAAAGTCCTACTAGGATTGTGCCACACGAAACCTATAAAAGCTTACAAACATCACCTTTGGACAGACAACACAATTTTGCTTTCTGAATACACAGAGCTTTTGTCTATTAGTCAAGCTTACTGACTTAGGCATCGGAGAGGTTTTCGGCACACACCCGCCGGCTAGCTCACGTTTGTGTTTTCAGGTGATAAAGCGACGACGTACAGAGGAGCGTAGACTTGATCAACAGAATTATACGAGAAGGTTTATTTCTTTCCCGTAAACCAGCTAAAAAATCCTTTTTCCAGTGAATTCGGGGACATAGAGTTTTAACCAGTTAAGATAGAAGTCTAAGACTTGTCTCTTCTTTTTCACATCCTCAATCCTCTTCATTTCTGGATATTTAGGCTGTGTTTGGATCTAGGAGTTGGTTTTTAGTTCTGTAGTTATTTGTATACCGTAATAATTTCTCGCCACTTTTCTCGTCCATCCTGCGCTGCGCCGCTTACAGATTCAGTTGAATCCCTAGACATTCCTCAAGCTCGTTTAAGAAATTATGGGAGTAGTCTTTTTTTATAGTCTGACATTCTGATGTAAAGTATTCGGTAGTCATCAATTCATCCTTTTATTTTATTTGACATGGGGATAGGTGGTGCAAATTACGTAGTATAAGAATAATTAAAGACAAAGCCACGGTTCAATGGGTCATGATGAATTGATTGGGACATACCTTTGAATGGTATAATGCCTCTTTCCATAAGGTTGACACATTGTTTGTAGCCCAAGAAGCCACAAGCACTAGTAGTCCAAAACACCATATTGGGGATGCCAAGTTCTTCACAAACCTTGAGAGTGAAGGACATGGCACCGTCCACCACAACACATGTCACCGGAGGCACGTTCGTGTGGTTAAGTTTGTGGAGAAGCTCGCGGAATGGAACTGGACAGTTCTGTTTGGTGGATTGACACAACGAGGGAATATGTTGTTGGGTGGTGTCATCAGCAGCATCGGGTGGGAGGCCATCGGGGATGGTTTCAAAGGTGAAGTCAGGCAGGCTAACAAGAGAAGTGGTGCCTCTGGACTTGAGCAAGCGTTTGTGGTTGTGCTCAGTGTTGACAAAGGTTATGTGGAAGCCTTTGGTGTGAAGAAGCTTTGATAGTTTGAGGAATGGGTTTACGTGGCCTTGTGCTGGGAATGGTACACAAACAACATGAGGTTTCTCATCAGCTACGGATCTGGAACCCATTCTCTCTCTCTCGCTCTCTCCATAAGTGCACATCCCAATTTATATGAGAGCAATACTACACTCCTCGGAACAAAAAAACTCAGAAACTATATAAAATTCAAAATCAACTTTAATGATTTACTTATAGAGTACAATTGTAACTACAATAGTTGGTTTTGAAAGTGTTTTGATTAAAATATAAGGTGAAAAAACTTATGAAAGTGTTTATGAATGTGTTTTTAACTTTATATAGAAAAATCTGTGAAACAGTAAAAAGAATGAAAAAGAATATTTTTGATTTTTTTTGTATAATTTTTTGACTTTTTCAATAACATTTTAACTTTTTGACTAAAATGTTAGTTGCCAAACGCATCCTAAATGCGCACCATGGACTTAAATTTTGATTAATTTTCTAGGGTGAACCTTTGCAGGCTGAATTCGGATTCAACTTGTCCAAATTACACTCCTAAAGCTGTGATTTATGTGATCCTATGAGGGTCAATTTCAGCCTAACCACTTTTGCCTTTGGCTTCTTGTAGATTAGGTCACAATCATAAAAAGAATTGAATTTGAAAAATAGGGGAATTGAGTGCTATTTGTTCTTATATGCTTCTTTACCGGTCATGGTGATGGTGCCGTATCAAACTAATTACCCACTCATTTAATCTCATAAAATATTTGAATTTGGAACTATTGGCAAATAAAGAAATAAAATCAAACTTATATTTAAGTCGTATAGAAGTTAGCTTGCTAAAAGAGTCAGCTTTCATTGATTGGCTTTGGCTTAATAATGGGCATGATTTTAGCTTACTAATGGACATGAATTTAGCTTTCATTGTTTGTCACCTTTGGACTTAAAAAATGTGAATCATAGTTGGATTTCATTGTAAAAAAAATGAAATACACGACATTCCAATTTTGAGATGGTGGGGTTGTGGCCAAAAGCTACGTCACTATTTAAAGCTATGGGTGGAGCAAGTACATGGTGTTATTTGCGTTAGGGTTATGTTCTCGTGGGACCCTCTTTTGTTAATTGACTAGGGTATGCCCAGGCACGGTAAAAATATTATTGAAATGAAAATATAATTAAATATAAAATTATTGGGTTAAAATGTAATTTATTTAATTTGTTGAAAAAAAAATTGAGAAGAAAATATAAATAGATGATCCGTATGGTTTTAGATTTTTAAATGAATTTTATAATTAGATTTTTGAAAAGAGTTTGTCAAATTTAAAATTTTTGAAAAAAGTTTGTCAAACTTAAAATTTTGTTTGGTTGTATGTATTAAAAACGATTTTTACAAATTTAAAATTCAAAACTTACTTAGTTTTGGAGTTTCCAAAAATAGTTTTAAAATTTTTAGTAAACTTTTAATATTTTAATCAAAATATTTTTCACTTTTCAAATCCACTCAATTTAAATATTTTGCAAAATTATAAAATTTAGAGACATGTAACTTAATAAAAAAAATAAGACCCTCTTTGTCTGTACTGCAAACTTAACGATAAACATATAAAAATTGTCCAATTAAATTTAACAATAAGTTTTGCTATAATTTTTTATTTTTAACAATAAGCAAGTTTCAATAATATCATTGTGATTGATATAGTATTTGAACTCAAATTCTCAATGCAAAAATAGTTGTGTTTTTTTTGTCAAATAGAAATTTAATGGCAAAAAATGGTATAGTCCATGATTAGTAGTGATGGAGGTAATGTAATGGAAATTGCTACAATTTATCAAGAAAATGTGAAAATAGTGATGACACAATTATTACCTTGGCCAAGAAAACGTGAAAATAGTGATGCCACAAATGCAAACAAAGACTAGATCATCAAATATTTACTAATGTAGTGTTTTTGTTTATTTAACCTACCTGCAATTTGCAATAAAAAATAAGTACTTTATTACCCTGACCAATAACAGTACCCAAATAAATTTCTATATTCTACATTTTTTTAGATAGTGAGCTTTGGTTGAAATAAAGAAGAGAGATCTCATGGCTATAGTTTTGCATCAATTTAATCTAATGGTTGAAATCTACCAATTTTTATGTTTTGGTGGTCAGTTTACTGTGCAGAAAATTAAATAAATGAAATAGTGAAAAGAAATAGTGAAAATTAAATAAATAAAATAGTAAATAAATCAATTTAAACATAAATTTTCCAAATTTATATACGAAATAGTGAAAAGTAAACACATAAATGTTACGTAAAATTTAAGCATGACAAAACAACAAAATGTAAGTTCCACAAACAATACAAATCAGACGAAATACGCTAGCCAATGCTCTGCAATAGAAAAAAAATAAACAACAAATTAAACGCACCAGCCAGTGCTCTACAATACAAAGAAAATGCCAAATAACAAATTAAACACACCAGCCAATGTTCTGCAAAACAAAGAAAATACAAAACAACAAATTAAGCACATCAACCAATATTAGGAAGCAAAAATGCAAATTCAACCAAATAAAAATATGATTAGTTTTCTTTAACCTAATTCAAGAGCATCTTTGAGAGAAAAAACAAAAAACAAAAAAAGACTATATCACCTAGTGTGCTACATTTAAAAAAAAAAAAACTCATAGCATAAGTCAATAATTCAAATGAATATTATCTAACATACATCTAAACTTAGTTATAAATTTTACATACATAAAAGGCTTTACAAAACTATTATAAATAATAAAATTCACATCGATAGGAAACTTTACAAAATTTGGATCATAGCTAGCATTTGTACGCTTTTCACAAAAATAAATATGATCTTCAAACTTGTTTGTTTCTTAGAATTCCTAGGAATGCCTCATCACTTTCTAAAAAATCTTTGTATCAACTTGTATGCATCCTCAGTAAGGAGCATGCACGACAATTTACTAATTTATGAAAATAAAAAAGTTAGTATATTAGTAAAAGAAAAGCTATATATATATATATACATATATATATATCAAAACGCTTTCAAATTGAAATTACCTTGTTACATCCCTATCGAAGCAATCTAGTTTTATTTATCTTTTTGAGCTTCATATATTTTTTAACCCAATCCTACAAAAGTCAACATATATAGTAAAATATTTTATAAATAATAATTTGTAATCAATAAAAGCAAATTTATCAATAAATAAATTGTACCTTTTGACAAAAGTGGTTTGATCCATAAGTAATACTATAACAAAATTTCAGGATAAACAATGTTTGTAGTAGAATTTAGCTCATCATTGGGAAGGAGGACACTTATACAATCAAAAGATGTGTATCTAAATAGGGCCACGTACAGTTGCCCATGGCTAAACACTGGTGTGTGCAAATCAACTCCAATAAATTTACAGATTGCCTTTGAGATTTTCAGGGCACGTGCCAATTGAACTGGAAATTGACGTCTTGTCATTCGGAAATGCATTTCTTAAGAAGATGGTGTCAAGGATATCCTTGGTATGAATACCAAATTGCCAAATTTTTTTCCAGTTAAAATTTGAGCTTCAATTATGCGAGTATTGCATCTAGAAACCATCAATCTTGTGCCAATGCACAGTGCATCTTTTGGTGCAATATTTCTTAACAACATTATAGGACAACCCACTTTCAACTCTACCTTCAAAGCTGGTAGTCCAGGAGGATCTAATGAATTTAAATACTTGTTAGGATATCTATTTATTATAGTACGATCAATTTCATCATCTTTAGACATCTTGTCTGCTGCCAGATAAGTATGTGTTACAGGGAAAAATATTCAATGCAACAATATGGATAGCATTGACATCATCATTCCGTACATAAAGAATTGTATGTTAAGTTAAAAATGTTGCAATCGATGTCATTGCCACGTCCAGTTGCAGATAAAATACTGAGATTATGTCTTTTAGATCTTGGCATTTGTGTATTGTTGATGGAAGTTTAACAATTTCTTGAGGATTGGTCCCAATATATTTATAAAAATAAATAAATAAAATGGTAAGTAAAATCAATTAAAGTACATAAACGTAAATATATTTCGTAAATTTAAAGGCAGTATATAATAGAGAAAAAGTTTGAAAAAATATTACCTTCATCAAGAATTTTGCAAAATTAGCGTTTCCAAGATTTGTATGATTCAAGCGTATGTTCAAATTTAAAGACAAAAAATGTATATCCTTCCATAGAAAAGAGTGTCTTAATGATGTATTCACAATTTGCTCACGGACTCCTTTGGTTATAACTGGTAAGATTTGTCGAAAATCTCCACCAAGAATAACAGTGATACCCCCAAATGGCTTTCATCATCACAAGTGTCTCGAAGTGTGCGATCAGCTGCCTCAACACAATGTCTATGTTGCATAGGAACTTCATCCCAGATTATAAATTTTGTTTTCCTAAACAATTCTACTTGTAATGATTGCTTGCTAAATCCAAAAATTGAATTTTCCAATACATCCAACGGAATGGAAAATGCTAAATGAGCAGTGCGACCTCCTACTAATAACAATGATGCAATTCCAGATGCAGCCACGGTAATAACAATATGGCCAAGGTTGCGACACTTCAATGCAATCATATTGTACAAAAACGTTTTTCCTGTTCCGGCAACTTCATTAAAAAAGAACATAGTTCCTTTATTTTTAAACACTGAGGAAGTGATTGTATCATAAGCTGTTCGTTGATCATTGTTGAGGCGATCAATGATAATTTCTACATCTGCCTATTGTGCCTCATTCTGTAGTTGTTGATGTTCGAATATCAACTTGTTACCAACTACTACACTCCAATTTGTAGAAGGTTGTGGCATTGGCGGGAAGTCAAATAAACTTTTTCCTAATTCTTGGAGCATTTGATGTGACACCTTGAATGTTTAATTAAATACCACATAAATATTTATAATTATGGTTTTATGTGATATATATATTACTAAAACAATAAAGAAATAAATAACTAAATAAATAAATAAATAGTATAGAAGTATTTGAAGAATTGGACCAACGTGACACCAAAAGTTAAATAAATAAATATAAAAGTAATAATAATAATAATAATAATAATAATAATAATAATAATAAGATAGCTATCCAAACAAATTTGTGAATCAATTAGGAGTGAATGTGGCATTTGTGAGTTAAGACACCTGTACAAAATATATATGATTTCGGATTTAGTCATCATTATGAGGATACGGGCCTTATGTATATAAGGCCAAGGTTTTCAAACCCGGACCGGACCGGCCGGTCAGACCGGTCGAACCGGGCCTGGTTCCAGTCCGGATAGCCCAATAAACTTGGAGAAGGCTCAAAACCGTTCTTAAACGAGAGAACCGGGATGGCCTGCCGGTTCAACCGGAAAACCCAGTGACCCGGACGGGTTTTGAAAAACCGGGCGGGTTGGTTGAAGTTATATATATCACTGAAAAAAACCCAAATTCTAGGGCTACAACAGATTTTATTCTCATCTTTCTCTCAAAAAGGGTGTCTTTTCGCTCATTGATTTTCTTCGGCTCATCTTCGGCGGTGACCGACGACCTCTGCTGCTGCTTTGTTTCTTTGGTAAGGATTCTCTTTCTTTCCCTCTTCTCTTCCTCTTCTGCTGCTCTTCCATTTTTCTCATTTCCTGCTGGTTTTTTTTTTTTTTAATTTTTATATCAGATCAGAGAGAGCCCATTGATTTTTTTTTTTGGTGTGAGTGAGTAGAGCTTTCTCTTCTTCTTTGTTTGTTGCAATTGAAATTTTATTTTCTGGATATGAGAATATGAGAATATATATGAGAATGAGACCATAAATGTTATGTACTGTTGTTGATGTTGAATACTCCCGTTATTGCAAATTTATTTGATTCAATTGTATTTCTCCTAATTTAATTTTAATAATAATATATAATAAAAAAATTGAAAGAATATAAAAAAACGTAGGGTAATAATAAATTACAAATCATAAGAATTTGAATGTTAAAATTATGCTTAAATCTAGAGTTTTCAATGGAAGTATGGTTCACTGGGGATGCTGGAACTTAAATTTAACTATTCTTCTTGATGAAGATTCACTGCCTATTGCAAATTATTAATAGAGGACAAACAAACTATAATATATATAAAGTTTTAGTGGACTTTCTTGTGATAGTGGTACCTAAAGATTTTGATAGCTTTCTTATCTCCTGATACTTGTACAGCAACAAACAGAGGGTTGTTCAATGGGATGTAAAAATCAAAACTTGAAATTGGAGATGATATATACATTTAGAATTTAGGTATACCTAAGAAATTCCATCTGTATTAATTTCAATAATTCTTGAAGGTTGCATTTGGATTCGTGAATTTGAATTTAATTATGTAAGAACAGAAATTAGAACAAAAAATCGCAATTGAGTGCTATCTTCATACAATCGATTGAATAATATTGGGAATGACTTCCGTAATTGGTTTATGTGATTCTTGACTTAATTATTGTATTGCAAATATTATATAGGGTTGTTTTAGGTGAAATGGATTCATCTGGCCATAATTCAACTGCACATTCTAATACTCCATCATCAACAAGAGGTAAATTTGATCCAGCATGGGACCATGTAACTGAAGGGCGAGCTCCTGATGGGAAGAAAACTTTAACATGTTTGTATTATGGGAAAACTATCAAATGCAGAGGGATTAATTGAATGAAGCAACATCTTGCAGGAAATTCTGGTGAGGTTGGGCCATGTAAAAAAGTTTCAGGTGACATTCAGTATCGAATGGAAGAGGCTTTGAAAGCAATTATTGAGAAAAATAAACGAAGTGAGGAATCTAATCCCTTTGGTTGGGCTGTTTTTGAAGTTGAGGATGATGCTGAAATTGAAGAAATAATTCCACAACGCAATAAGGGCATCTTAATTAATGAAGGTGGTGGTAGTAAGAATAAAAGTAAGGCAACAATCACATAAAGAGGAAAAGGAAAGGACCCTGTAAAAATTGATAATTTTTTTGCACTAAGGACCACTCCAGGCTCTCAACCAACTATCAAAAGTGCCCTTGCAACTAAAGAAGCTGTACATAGGGCACATATGATTGTGGCAAAATTTTTGTATGATACACGTGTTCCAATGAATGTTGTCAATTCCATATACTTTCAGCCCATGTTTGATGCTGCAATGCCATGGGTCCAGGATATAAAGTTCCTACCTACCATAAAGTTCGAGTTCCTTTATTGAGTGACTCAAAGAAAGAGCTTCAATTGTTTATTGACTCTGTAAAGAGTACTTGGGCTGATTCTAGGTGTACAATTATGGGTAATGGTTGGACTGATGGTAGACATAGAACTCTCATTAATTTTTTTGTCTATTGCCCTAGAGGAATCACTTTTGTTAAATCTGTTGATGCCTCTGATGTTGTAAAAAATGCTCCTCTTCTTTTTAAATTGTTTGAAGAAATTATTGAGTGGGTGGGAGCAAGCAATACTGTGCACATGGTGACAGATGATGGGGCAAATTATGTTGCTGCTGGAAGGCTTGTTAGTGAAACTTACAAGAATATTAATTGGTCTCCTTGTGCAGCACATTGTTTGAACTTGGTGTTAAATGATATTTCCAAGTTGAATCATGTGAAAGAGCTTGCGTCTAGAGCATCAAGTGTGACAAGATTCATTTATAATCGCCCATGGTTGATAGCTTGGTTGAGGAAAAGAAAAGGATGGACCGAAATTGTGCGCCCAGAAGCAGCCCGTTTTGCCACTACTTTCATTGGATTGCATAGTATTCAAAAACATATGCATGATTTGAAAGCCTTAGTGACAAGTAAGGATTTTGTCAATTCAAGGCATGCAAAAGATAAGAAAGTAAAAGAAGTTGTTGCTATCATTTTAGATAGTAAGTTTTCAAATGATTGCTTGATCGTTATTAAGATTGTTGAGCCACTCATGAGATTGTTGCGTATTGTTGATGGAGATAAAAAACCTTCAATGGGATATGTATATGAGGGCATGTATAGGGCAAGAATAGCAATTAAGAATGTTTTCATGAAGAAAAAAAGATTGTACAAGCCTTATACAAGTATTATCAAAGATTGTTGGGATAGGACATTACGCAAAAATATCCATGCTGCGGCTTATTAGTTGAATCCGGCTTTTCAATATGATCAATCATCATTTTGCAAAAAACCAAAGGTTATGGCAAGTGTGCTTAATGTGATAGAAACAAAAGCTACATGTAGCAAGACAAAACTCTTGGATGAAGCAAGAATGTTTCGAGATCAATTAGAAAGTTTTGGAAGAGAGCTTGCTACTATTACATCCAAGACAACACAACCAGGTAAAATTATTTATTACATTTAATTTTTTTTCATTGTGATTGCTTAATAATTCTTTAAGTGTAATATTAGATCTAATTTATTTATTTCTTCTTTTCTTTTAATAATGAGATGAATGGTGGAGGTTATTTGGCCATAGTGCTCTAAATTTGCAAAAGTTGGCTATTCGAATTCTTAGCCAAACTAGTAGCTCTTCTGGATGTGAAAGGAACTGGAGTATTTTTGAACGTATTCATACGAAGAAGAGGAATAGATTGGAATATCAAAAGCGTAATGATCTTGTATACATTCATTATAATTTGCGATTGAAGAATAGGTAAATGAACCATTTACCTTGTCATACATTTACTAATAGAATATTTATTCAAGTAATCTTACTTTTAAGTGAAAATTATAGGCATTTCAACAAAATGAAGAACTATGATCCGGTTGACATTGAAAGTATTGACAAAACCGAGTTTTTGATTGTTGAAGATGAAAAAGAGCCTCCTCTTCTTGATTTTGATGAGTTGGAACAAATGCTTTATCAAGAAAGTTCGGCTCCACAAAATAAGAGGCAATGTGATGGTCTACGTGATGGTTAGTAATTAATTATTTCATTATTATATAACAATGCTTTTGTTATTATTAAATTGATTACTTAATGATTTTGTCGTAACTATTGTAGAAGATGACAAGGATGATGTGGTCTTAGAGGCTAGAGATGATATTGACCTTGGATCATTTGGTGATATCAACATGGATGATAGATCTAATGCTCAAAGTGGTGGAGTTGGCATAAACAACAATGAAAATGAGGATGATGATGCTTGGCTAATGGAGGGCTTGCCAAGGAATTAGGCAAAAAAGCAATGTTTTTGTGGCATGATGTGTTTGTTGTGGATTGGTTTTGAATTTTTTTTTTATATATATATTTATTTGTCTACTTTCATTTAGAAAGGATAGATGCTCATTATTGTGTTTTAAGATTTGGAATTATAGATCTTATCTCCATGCTTGCTTGGTTTATGTTTGTGTTTGAAATTTGACTCTTAATTGATGTAATAAAACTAAAGTATTTTTATTTGATTATGTTTGCGTTTTTATTTGACAAATAGGTCATCTTAATTGCTTTTAGTATAATGCTTTTATTACTTTCATTATTATGATTGTATTTAGAATATATTCTATTTTCTAACCTTGATATATGTGTTGATTGTATAGTGATTTTTGCTTGTCAAAAGATTGCGCAACCCATTTAGAGAAAGGTCTTCAACAAATAAAAATAAGGTATGTCACATTATTATTGCAAATTACAATTTCATTGTGAGTGATATTTGAAAATTCTATTATTTTGTTGAATTAATTTTTTTTTTTTCATTTATATTTTTAATATATTTATGACATAATTATGACGTCACGGTTCAACCGCTTCGACCGCTTCGACCCGACAGTTGAACTGGTGACCCATCCACTCGGTCACTTTTCCGGTTCGCTCACTGGCCCGGGTTTCAAAACATTGTATAAGGCAGCCAAGACAGCAAATTGAAGGTACCAAAAAGAAGAAAAATTCAGAGAGATACTACGTAGAAGGGAGTCTCGAAAAGATAGGAAAAATAGGAAGGAAACAGTAAGACTCAATCTTAAGGTGAGTTATATTATACCTTAAGTCACCATAATATATTTTACGTATGTTTTGGGTTACCATAAATTATTTTACGTAATCTATGTTTTATAAAGTATATTAATATTTTGATTACATTAATTATTATCTAAACCCTATTTGCTTAAATTGAAACTCATGGATATGCTTGTTTAACTTTTAGAAATTATTTGACAATGGTTTTATAAATAATTATGTTTTGTAAGTACCACCACGGGAGTCCCATGCTTTAGGGGACTTAAATAACCATTGGCATTTGTTTGCCCACTTTGTGGTCCTCTGTTTGTCATGGATCCATTGACCTCTGTTCTGATTGTCACTCTTATAACCTCTGCTCTGTTCTGTTCTGTACTGTGGTTATGGTTATTTATTTATATAATTTTCATATTTCAGTTTCTACCACTTTAATTAATTTGTTTATTCAAATTAAGTTATGTAAATGTTTTAGCTTAACTAACTATCCATGGTTATTTTGTGTTCCCTATACTCTTGGCATAATATTTCTCATTCTGCTGTGTGCTTATAGCTATTACCCTTTCAGGTGATGAGATGTAAAGAAGACTTGTAACTTCGTGTAGTGGAACCCGCACAAGAATTTGATGCTGATCCGTTATTTTGTGTTTTTCTTTTCTTTTCTTCCTTTTGTTTTTACTGATGGTCGATCACTGAATAATAAAATAATAAAAGCCCTATAGATGTACTTTTTTATCAACATAGTAGAATGAAATTAATTTTCTGTTTAATTATTTCTTACTTTTATTTTGCCTCCACTTGCGCCATTTAATTTGTTAAGCTTAGAATTATTTAAGAAGTTGCGATTCCAGCCCTAAACCCCTGGAGTTGGGTCGTGACAAAGGTGGTATCAGAGCAATGGTTTCAAAAAGATAAATATTTACATGCGACGTCAGCTTTGTTCTGTAAAATCTCATGTTTATTCTGGTGATGTAGGAATGTCTGAGTTAAACCTTGATGAGGCATTTTGAGAGGAGCTTGGGGCTATCAATTCGAAGGATATTTTAGCAAAGCACCCCGCCCCCGCCGTACCGGAAGGATGGGGAGACTCAGAGGATAAATTAAGAGACTGCATCCAGGACTTGCCCAATTGATGGGTCGGCCGATATATGTACAAACCGATCCTACTAACGTACCATACTTACTTTGGAGGCAGAGTCGTGCCTATACGCGTGGACGATTTCTCAGACCCACCCGTGTCCTCGGCCTTGCCCCAGGATATGGCCGCCCACACTACATCGTTGGCCTTTTGCCCCCGGATTTTGTGACAAGAAGGAAAAATGTGTACCCCGAGGACTGCATCTTCATCAATGTCCCTAACCCGTTGGAAATTATCAATATTCAAAATGTTGATTTTAGAAATGACCTATCATAGATTGAGCAATCGGGATGGATAGTCGATCGAGCATTTTGGGGCAACATAAAATCCGTCCCCGTTTACACCGTCCAGGCAGCGTGGATATGTTTTGGTGTGGTACAGTTAGGATCTGAATTTGAGCTTTTATGCAATACTATTTTCCATGATTGTTTGGCCCGTTTGACCCACCACTCTAGATTTGATAGAAGAAAAGTTTTTGTAAGCTAACCATGATGAGTTTTGATCCCTCTTTTGTTTATGTATCACAGGGATGAGACACTAACATAATTTTTTGATTTTTGGAACAAAGATGTAATATTATATTTACAAAATTAGTAAAGTTGGTATTTTAGATATGCAATATATATGTTGCGTTATGAATATAATGTCTCGTTTATTTCTTTGTAGAATGACCAATAATGGTAACGGAAGCGAATCATCAGTTAGTGGCACTGAATCAATAGAAAGAATCATGGAAAGAACGGTTACTAGCTTTTTGCACGCCTTGCAGATTAGCATTAACAATGGGATGCCCGAACGGTGAGAAGAGCCGATTACCATAAAACAGTTCCAGGATCTAAACCCCACCATATTTACTGACGATCTAGACCCAATGGTAGCGGACGCTTGGGTTAAAGACATGGAAAAGATTTTTCGCGCTTTACCCTGCACCAAAAGACAGAAGGTAACTTTCGCCACTTTCACTTTCACTTTCAAAGACAATGCGCAAGAATGGTGGTTTCTCACCCTAAAGAAAGAAGAAATTGTGACTTGGACAAGATTCTTAGAAGTATTTATGCAAAATACTTTCTAGATTCGTTGCGAGAAGAAAAGGCGTTGGAATTCATACATCTAAAGCAAGGAACCATGATGGTGGTCGAATACGAGAGCAAGTTCACACAACTCGTTCGGTTTGCGACATATGTCATCCCTACCGAAGCATGAAAAACAAGGAAATTCGAAGCAAGATTGGATACTAAAATCAAAGATAGGCTTGAGGTTATGAAACTGCCAACCTATGCGAAAGTGGTAGATTGAGTGTACATTGCAGAAAAAGGGATTAAAGCCTTGCATTCCGTTGAACCAAGCCAAAAGAAGCAATTTTGGGAAAGAGACAACAGAAGATCCGGTATTGCATCTCTCAAGAAGGTAAAGACGGGTGCAACCAGTTCAAGCAATCGAGGTCCTACTAACCCCCAAGGTGGTACTATTCCAACTTGTCCTACTTGTGGAAGGGCTCATTGGGGACAATGCCATCGAGACACAGGAGCATGCTTTAAATGCGGTCAAGTTGGCCACTTACTGAGAGATTGTTAGAGGTGTACACGGTCCGGATTGGTTCGATTTTAAGAAAATCCAAGAACTGAATCGATCCTAACGGTTTTGTGATTTTGAGAACTAGATCAGACTATCAGACCATTACACTTGTAACACCGGACCAGAACCAAACCGAAAAAACGGTTCGGTTTCGATTTGGTTCACGGTTCCAAAAATTTCTATTTACAAGAATAAATTGTTAATATTAGCAAAATACTTACTCAAACTAATTATATTTAACTCATGATAAAAACTAATAATATTAAGACATTACTCAACATTACATATCTATATCATCCAATATCATTAAAATTATAAAAAATCAATTAATAAAAATAAAACTTGATATTACATATATATCTTTTAAAATTCGATTCGAACTGTGATTTTTTCATAAAATCCATTAACCGAACCATTTTTACGGTTTTCATATTTCTTAAACCAAAACCGAACCAGTTCTTAATATAAACAAACCAAA